CCCCAAAACCCCAAAACCCCAAAACCCCAGAAGGAGGAATATTCCTTGAAAACTTTCATTCTAATATTTATCCTTTATCATCTCAGAGAGGCAACCCATTGACCCTCTTTCGAGATCATTGACTTGTCAACGATCTAGCAAGAGAGTTTGACTACAAGGGAGTTAAGCAAGTATATTAGTGAGATAAGAGATATTGTGAGGTATGATAGAGTGGTTATATTGAAATTATACGGTTTTTAGAGGGGCTAGAGCGTTTTCCAAGTGACTTCGGACTTTGAGAAGATTTTTATCTCAAACGATCCAAAAATTTTTGTGCTGTTTTGAAGAGAGCGATCGGCTTTTTCTAAAGCGGTAGCGGGTAGTAAGGTGATTTTAAGGGGGTATTTGAGGTTTGTGCTTAGTTCGATTTCAGTTGAAATGCTGATATAATTTATTGGTATTCCTGATTTTCCTAGAAGTTTCTTTCTGTCAATATTTTTAATTTTGCCACCTCCAGTTTCCTGAACAAAGAAGGCTATATATCTCTTTCCTTTGAACATATTCTCTTCCTCTAATTGAGTCATTTGAATGAATAAAGGGCCTGGTTCTTCTATCTTCAATTCATATTGAGGATTGGAATCTAATTTTGGACTTTTATTTTGCTTACTTAAAAAGCCTTCAATAGAATTTATATCCCATCATCCTTTCTTTTTGTATTTATTCCAATCATCCATAACTCTGAATATATACAAATAACTAAAATGATTGAAGAAATCATCAAGGTCCATCCAAAATATCCCATCTTTTTTAACTATAGATTTGCATTTGCTTCTTGATTTTTGAGTCCACATATGTGAATCATCTGACCAGTCTCCATTCCATTCTGTCCCTTTCCTCCCATGAGGATTTCTCAAATTTAAAAGCCTGTAACCATCAAATTGCTTAAGACCAAGAATAGCATATGCATGCTTAGGAACAATTCCAGAGCTATTAACAGTTTCCTTGCCATTAATACTATCTTTACTCCCAGCCCCTAAAAGGGCTCCTTGAGCTATTAGAGACCTCAGTCTGTTCCATAGCTTACTCTTCTCTTCTCTATGACTTCTCAATTCTATTTGTTCTGACACCCCTCTAATCATATCAGCTAAAGCGTATTGAACTTTACCACCTTCAATGGTATGGTAGCTTCCATTTAACTTTGCATATGCTTTCTCGATTATCATTGGCCATAATTCATCTTCATCTTCGTCTGACTCTTCTTCATCTTTGTCAAGTTTTCCTTTGGCAAAAATGAATTTGCCACTTTCAGAGACTGGGAAGTAGTCATCAATGATGACATCTACTGGGTTTCCGTATTTTAAGAACCTTACCCAGAAAGCTCCACATTCACTTTCATGACGATCTCTACTATTGATGAACTTGATTCTTTCTTTTATATCCTTCTCGTTTAGAACGGAGATCGCTGCAATCAAGTAGCAATCTCCAAGATCTCCTTGTGCTACATCCCTTGGGTTAATTTGATCTCTAAAGATGATTGTATTTTGGCGTTTGCTAGCTCTGACCCATTCATTTGTCTTCTTTATTAATTTTTCAGATCCGAGTGATTCTTCAGAAGCAAGGAACTGGCGATCAGTAAATTTCTCTTCATTTTCTTTATACTTCTTGATTATTTTCCTATACTTTTCCTCGCTATCAGGCATTTTATCTATAAGAGAATCTTGGTTGGAATCTTCTGCAAGTATCTCCCTATTTTCTGTAAGCTTTTTCCTTTCTTTTGCTGACTTAGCTATCATTCTCATATTATTTTCATAATTTTCTTTCTCTTTCTTGATTGCTTCTTCTTCGATTATTTTCTGCTCCTTGTAAAATAGCTCCTTCATAGTATCAAATTGAACTTTTTTATTAGGCTCTAGCTTTTCGTATTGGTAGAGAACATGGGCGTATTTATACTTAAGCCTTCCTTTATTTGGAATTGTAATGTTGACATCAGCAGCAATGAGATCAGACTTCTTTACCTCTACGAATTCGAAGAGAGCTTTCCGTCCACTATCTTTGAAATTTAGACAATGCTTAATTAGAAGTAACTCAAAATGGATAATTAGGCTTATTTCTTCAAAGAAAATCGCCTTAGCTTCTGCATCTATGTTATATAAATATTTTCTGCAAGAGTATACACAATAAGGATCAATATTAATGGTGTTCCAATCAAGTGAGCTCTCTGGAAAGCTTTCTATGCCCTTCTTTAGAGCTTTTATATGGTTGGAAATTTTATCCCTCTTCTCAGATATTTCTTTGGAAGTAGTTATTGGAATTGCTGGCTCAATACTTAGAACTCTGAAGTATTCGTTCTTTGCTTCTAGCCAAGCTTTTGTGATAATACTAGGATTGTTATTTTAGTGTCTCATCAGCATCATGAAGCATCACTGGGGTGAAGGATACCAAATACAAAACAAAAATGATCACAATCACTTCTACCAGGCAAGACACTCAAATTCCAATAGAAATTGGAGTCATCCAGGCTGCACACTGAAACGACCATAAAAATGCTAAGAGTAAAGCCAAAAATATATACACAGTTGGCTTATCTCGACGCTCAACACAATTCTTAATGGAATTATACTTATAAATCGGGAAAATCCAAGGTGAGAAGAAAATTGGTTCTTGCTCACAATACCATAAATCTCTTGCAAATTTACTGAACCCATATAAAAACACCATTAAAATAACTACTCCATAAGAAATAGACCATCCGAAAAATATCACAAATCTTTCTATTGAAAGAGCTACAATAAAGGTTGAGGCTGCAACTAATGACAGGATTCAAAAATTAAAAATTCCCCATTTTCTTGGAAGCCTTCCATTATTTTTGTAATAGATGAACACCATAAAACCTGCATAGATTATTATAACAACTATTCCTGTAAAGATGGATCCGCTTATGGGTCCAATGAACAGATAGCAACATACAAGAAGAGCTATCCCCCATTCGAGGGTGAGTGGCATTACAGTGAGAACAAATCCATCAAACTCCCATTCGTTTAGATACCATCGATACAGAAAAGTTGTGCATAGAATCACAAATGGGATGAACAGGCAGTACCAGATCAAGAAAAAGTTGCCTTCGTTGTGTTCTTCTGGAGAGAAGTCAAATCTGATCCAAAAGTCAATCAATCCCCAGCCAAACACTGCCAATATCGAGATGGAATACATAAAAATTTCAAAGAGACGAAGTTCAGTGTCTCATGAGAATGGTCTGACCAGGAAAGAGTATGAGGTGTAAAATGCAAAGAATGCCATGATCCAAGAGACACCTTCAGTGCTATTTTTGTGGATTGAAATAGCCACACCCATTAGGACAATCACTAAATAAGCAAAGAGTAAAGAAACATAAATATGCTTATCATTTGGCCTTATTTTTCAACAGAAAAGAGCAGTAAAGGTATTATTACTTTTCCTCCAATCTTTGATAGTCTTGAACTTTTTATTAGCTTTGGAGGTCCCGAAAACTTTAGGATCATACTCGACTCGTTTATCAAGTTCCTCAATTCTAAATTTGTAGTAAACAACAAGTGTTGAAGTAAGTTAAACCAATACTGAACCGTAACCCAACGAACAGTGTAGGTAGACAGTACTTAAGCATCATTGGTAAATTTAGATTTTAGGGGCTTAATGATGGCTTTTTATCACTACTCTTTGTAATTTGTGAGTGTATTAATATTTTATAGAGATTATGTATTATTCAAACAAAAGAGATCGATTTATCTAATTTTTATAATTTTATTTGGGATAATATTCATAATTATAGACAAAATTACTTAATGAGCTTTACAGTATAATATTCATGAAGTCTTATTTTCTGCTAAGGTAATTTTTAAGGATATCAACCTTGGGATATTTATGTCAAGGATATTAGATATTCATCATTGCATCCCTCTTAAACTAAGTAGTTGGTTTTTGTTTATATTGAATAGAGATGTGAACTAAAAGATAGAAAATTACTAATGGTTTAAGTATCATAAAGGAATTCCAGATTAAAAATTGGTTCTGATAATCTTACCACAATCTCCTAGTACCCTCCTCATTCAAATTCCCATTAGTCAATTCCAACCCATCTACCCTCCCTCCAAGCCCCTCCAGCGTATCCTGTATCTTCCCTTCCTCCATTCCCCTTCCAGCTTCCTTCTCATCCTCACTAATCCCATCTTCATAATAATTAAAACTCCTATTATTCTGTCTCCTATATGTTTTCCAGGCTTTTTCAATATTAAGTATTTTAGCAGGGTTTTCCTTTGTTTCTTCGTTTTGGTGGTATTCACCTCTAGCTGTTTGTTTTGAGGAGGTGTTTTGGGGGTGATTGTGGGGGTTTTGGGGAGTAGAAGAGTGATCCTGGGATTTTTCGAGTTCTTTGATGACTTTGGTGATCTTTTTGTTATGATTTGATATGATTTTATTGAGAGATTCAATGTCTTCGAAGTAGTTATAGTCGTTTAGAACGAAGTATAAGTAGGCATTTAGTAGACATCCGAGGGACAGAGGAACACATAGCCCAACTCAGAGGTATCTATAATCTTCACTAATGAAATATGTAGCAACAGAAGCAATTGCGAGTAAGAAATAAAGAAAACCTAGAAAAAACCAGAATAAATCGATCTTTTCGGAATAAACATAGAAGAAAGTTTTGCTATCTATTCCATTCATTTTCCTTCTAAAAGTTCTGTATGTAAGAATCATGAAGAAAATAATCAGAACGAGAAGGATTGAGAAGAGCCCATATACCCAAAACTGAAATGTTTTGTCGTATAGCTTGACATCTTCAAGAGGAACTCCTCTAGGTTTCACTGCTTTCATGATCGACAGCAAAACAAAATATAAGATTGTTGAGAAAAATAACAGAAACTCTGGAGTTGATGCAATATTAAACTTATTTTCCTGGCCTTCTTTGTCTTTCTTTTCTCCTTCTGGTTTCATGATATCCTCCAAGAACGGAAATCTGATGATAGCAATATTGTAAACCAAATAGATTCCAAAATAAGTGTACAACAAGCTGTATCCATAGATCCAATAAGTCCCTCCGAGAACAAACAGGCATATTCTGAAAAGAACCAAATGAAGTGAAATTTCAGCTGGAGAAGTATAAATTTCAGATTTTGAGTACAAGTAAATAATCACGTCTGTTCCAATCACAGCAATAGCTGTGATAAGTCCTATCTTCGATTTCTGTCTGAAATAATAATCCAGATATGAGTATCCGCCTAAAACCATCATTATTGCTTGAATATTCACTCTCAGGCCCAATTAAGATAAAAGTGTTAGACTGAATTCTTAGCTAAGAAATAAAAATTTTGGATTTCATAATAAAATGTTAAATTTTGTTAAAAATTGAATCAACTTACCTAATGCACCAAAAGCAGCAAAGTAAATGCCAAACATGGTCCAAGACTTGACTTTCCCTTTCTTATTGGCAAAGTAGCCTATGAGGCCTCCTGTTAAGATGGAGTTTTCTTGCACCTGATCTTTTAAGTCAGACAGACTATGTGTAAACTCCACCTTACCCATCCTCACCGTCCTTTTCCTCTTCCTTATCCCTCACTTCTTCCTTCTCTTCCTCTTGCTGGATCCCATTCTGCTTCTGTTCTTCCTCCTCAAGCTCCTCAATCTCCTCAATCTTCTTAAGAAACTTTACTACTGAAGCGCCTGCTTTAGAGGTACTCATGAAGACAATAGTGATGGTCAGGATCGCATTAGTGGTCATGAATACGGAGGAGAGACCGAAGAAGGTAGATGAGTGCTTGAGCAGGAGTAGGGTTAGTTGGAAAGCAGTGAGGAAGAGAAGGGAGAGGGAAAGGGAGATTATGGTGGGAGAGGAGGGCTGGAAGTCATCCCATTTTGTCTTAAATACTCCAAATAAAAGGGTTAAAATTCAAACTGCACCTAGAAATACAGCAATTCCTGTTGCTTTATCTTTTTCATCTTTGAGCATCAGCATAATCACCCATGAAATCAAAAAGATAAGAGGCGAACATAAAAATATCCAAAATACAACCTGTAAAACTCAGTTTGTTTTTAAATTTTTTGATTTTGATCAATAAATTCTTCCTCTCGGACTATGGCTCGGTTGATCAAAGCTTTTGCATTTCCATAATTCAGATATAAGATAATTTTGGAGGTTTGAAATCCTTCCTTGTACCATATCAAGTAGCACAATGACCAAAATTGAGGTTACCATGAATAAAACTCCTAAAATTAACCAATTGGAGTCCCATCCAATATTATTATATCCCATATTTTATTTTTATATTCAAAAGCAGCTAAAATTTATGGGGTTTTGGGGTTTTGGGGTTTTGGGGTTTTGGGG